GAGACTCGTCGTCGGAGATTTTTTTTTTTTTTTTTTTGAGAACAGGCAAAAACTAATGCGCGCGCGGATGTCATCCATAAAATTAAGTCGGTGTGGCCTAACGTGGGGTTCAATCAACTCATGAAAGGTGAATGAACGGAATCCGCTACATAGTCCGATACTGTTTATTCAAAAGCAACTTCGTTTCGATTTTTTGTAGCCTTTTCAACTACTAGTATATATTAAACGCTAAGTTTTGAATTTATGAAGCTAATCATGAGCTATTTAAAACAACAAAATACCGTGACTGAATATGATTTTATGAACTGAAAATATCTTCCCTGTTATAATTATACTTTTGGTTGTTGTGCCTTTCCATGCATTTGAATAAACAATCTACCACCAAACAAATAACGTCCACGTGACCAGTGTTTGTCCGATTTCGCTGATTTTTTCAGAGATTGAACACAAGATGAAACCATTAGGATTTCCGGATCTATATATTTGGCTTTGAAAACTGAGCAGCCTAATTTGAGAATTAAAACTCACAAATGCTTAGCCAATAATCCATTAAGCGGCCGCCATTTGGCTATCGTTAATGAGATCATGAAACAAATGCACATACATATTTGTGACATGATGTACCTTGTGTGTGTGAAGTTTGAACTCGATCAATCCAAGCATGTCTCAGATACGGATCCAGAACTGAATTCTTTAAAACAAAATGGCCGCCAGTCGGCCATTTCGAACCCGATCCAAAAAAAAAATGACGTGCATCAAGGTCCTATTATGTTTAATGTATGTACCAAATTTGAACAAAATCCGTCCATGCATAACTGAGATCCGGGTCCGGAATGGTGAAAATGTGCGATTTTGATGCATTTTCGGCCTTAAAATGGCCGCTATTCGGCTATCGTTAATCAGATCATGCATGCATGTGCATATGTGCCATATAATGTGTGATGTATGAGTGAAGTTTGAACTTAATCGATCCATGCATGTTCGAGATACAGGTGATCACGGACGGACGGACGCACACAGGGCAAAACATAAGTCCCCGTTTTCGGACTGCGTTCGAACGGGGACTAATTAGGGCTTTGGGGACATATTGGATAGAACACGCACGTATTAAATACGCCTATGGGTAGTAAATCAACAAGGTATTGGGAGCGATAACCTATTCACCCGCAGGTTTATACGGATGATGCTTAAATGTCCGAGTCGTTTTACAGAATAAACACCCGGAAGCAGTATCATCATTGGGGGGGGGGGGGTGTTGGATAGTCAATGCGTAATGTCGTTTTCCAGCATAAACACCCGGAAGCAGTGTTATCATTGATAACAAGTAATAAAAATGAGATTTGATTTTGTCAAGCTGATGTTTCCAGGCTGGGCTTCGATCTAAAAGAGGGAATTCTATGCTTTCGATTATAGTAGTTTGCAACATTTGTGATAAAACTGAAATTACAAATTACTTGTATTTTAATTTGACTGTTATACACACAGATTATTCCACACCATCCTATTCTTGCAGACTGTGCCCACACTATGCCAGATCACATTAGTTTGTGATTGCTCACAAGTAATTTATATCAAGAAATACATTTCTTTAATCTAATTTGTTTTATTTTGTGCAGACTGAGCTGGTGACTCAATAGAAAAAATAAAGCTATCAAGATATTATAAATGTTTATGGTTTTACAAAAAATACTTTCCAGGCAGTTTCAAGCTTAATGATGGGAAATATTTGAATACATCCATTCTCCACTAGACATGTACAGCTCAAGAAAAAAAAGAATACTGCCGTTGGCGGCGATACTCTGGAAGATAGAGTTTAACAAATCACACTGATGGCGCTATCACTTCAGTCGTTCACATTGGCTTTATATACAGATATAATTCTGGGGTACTCCTTAATATATTTTT